AAAAAGCGCGGAGTATTAAATTAAAGGAGGAAAGTATGCGTGAAGAATGTGACATTAATATACCGTGCGTGCGCCATTACAGCATCCTTCGTCAGGTTACAACGTGTTACTACCGTTACTACTACTATCACTACCACCCATTATGGTCGGTACGCTCACGCCGTACTTCCACGCGCTTGAGGTGGGGAGGAATCCGGTCGCCTGTTTCCCTCTCTCGTGACCATCGTGATGGGCATCCACGTAGGTCACTGGATACGTCGGCGAAATAGCGACGGAGGTTGTGGTGAGCGCGAGAGGGTGCGGGTGGCCGATAAAGGAAGCGTAGATGGATATGGAACAAGGGAAGAGAGAGAGGGATGAAGTGGAGAGAGAAGCAGGGAGGAAGAGAGGAGGAGCAGATGGTGAATTGGAAGGGATGTTCGTGATTTTCGAAGCGGATGCTCGGAGATCGTCGCGACCCAGATTATCGTAATGACTGTTAATAGGTTTTCCGGGAATCGTCGGATTATTGGCGGTGGAAATCAGTTTATTTCGTAGAGGATGCTCGTTTGTTTCCGTTCATTTCCACCCACTCTCTCTTCTCTCGATGGATTCTCACCGGCGGCTTTTATCGTGGCGCGTGGCTGGCTTTATTTGCTAAATTTCAACGGGGATCGATTTCCGGGTCATAACCTTTGATACCTCCGCGACGCGAAGTCGCTCTGCTATTTCATTGTAAGTGACATCGCTATTATGTTGGTTTTTCGTCCCCTCGAGCGAGATGAAACGACGCGACGTGGTGTACGGCGCGGTTGACATTTAAATGGGGGTTCTAATTAAAAGATTCTCCTACTTGCGAGACGCTGCCTGTATCTGGCATTTTTCCCACGTTTCGCTGATTCTTGCCTCGTGACGGCCGCGTTTGTCGTTACACCTAGTTACAGCCAGACGCGAATAAAGCGAACTGCGAGATCCCTTAATGGAAGCACTGTTCGAAATTTAACGATGGTGACCGCAGCATTTGGTGTCTTCCCTCGATTGACCCGTACTCGCACTCACTTGCTCGAGAGAGTCACCCCCTCTGGCGGTAAAACGACTCGCATACGTCAACGAGAGGATGATGATATAGACTACTTCGGAAAGTACATTACCGGCGTTTCTCGCGTTTGTTCGTCGCCCCAGGCTTATTTATCGTTCCCGGAGCCGAGTGGCTTCAAGTCACAGCTGCTGTCTGTAATGGAGTTGCGTACCCGCCGTCGTATATGAAGCAAGAAGTTGGTATGATGGGGGTGGCAGTAGCCGGCTTGAAAACAGATGTGAGTGAAGGGTGAAGAACCTCAGAAAAAAGTAAATACTATATCGAACACGACGAGGGAAGGTGACGGAAAGAGAAGAGTAGGAAGCGTGGATCGGAAGATCGCAAAAAGAGTGAATGCATGTGGGATAAAAGAGTGTCACTGGGGAAATATGAAACATGACATGAAGTCATATAAAAATATGCGATGTGCAAACTGATATCGAGCGGAGAAACCCGTGAAGGCAAGGCTGGATAAAATAAAAAGAAGATGAAGAAGAGAAATTAAAAGGAGAAGAAGATAAAGCGTGGAATATAGGAAGAGGGATAAACGCAGAAATAAACCGAGATATCGTCATAGCAGAAGGAACGAGCGACTTTGACGTATAGAAGAGAAGATGGACGCGCGGATCACAAAGAACCCGTAAAGAAATCCACTCTCATGAGTCACAAAAATCCGCTGTCGTGGAAAAAAGGCGTGAAGTCTGCTACCGTCTTCGTCGTCGTTGTCGTCAGGTTGGAGGGGATACACGCGACCGCTGACACCCGTAAGTGGAGTACTAGCGACAGCAATAAGAAGTAAGCGAAACGAGGGAAAATCCAATTCAGAAAAGTCGCGGTTGGGAGATAAAAGGCAGACAGTTCTTGAGGAGAAGAAAGAGAGAGAGGGAGAGAGAGAGTGTGTGTGTGTGTGTGAATGTGTGTGTGTGAATGTGTGTGTGTGTGTGTGTGTGAGAGAGAGAGAGAGAGAGAGAGAGAGAGAG